CACCTGATGGACTGGTGGAACAGCATAACATATCTGAAGAGTGTAAACAAGCACAAATGCAGTGTTGCGAGGAGACAACGCGTAATATGTATCTGCATTGGAAATATTTGGGTTTTGCTCATCCCAAAACTGCCACTCCACGACCGCGATTTCGTCCTAGTTTGGACTCATAAGGTGGAGATAGCCTGAACTGGGGTGGAAATCAGAGTCTAGTGGTTCACGGCTGACGCCATAAACACTATGCCACTGAGATCCGCGAGCAACGATTGGTACAGCGGTAACGAATTCAAAATTGGACGTAGAGAATCCGCAGGGATGGGAAGGGACGAAGAAACTCACATCAGGAACGCTACTGAGGTCGGCTCCTAGCCATGTCAGCAAGTGTGTCTAGCCAAATGTGTTCATTCTTAAAACGGACTCCTTGTAGCTCAACGCCAAACCCGTTGCCTTGCGGTAAGGCTTTTGAATCAAAGGCTTGGGTTGAGAACTCTAATCGTTCGCCTGTCTAGGCCTGGGCAACCTGACAGTATCCTGCGCACGCAATACAATGAATCCCCCTTCAAACAAATTCCTTGTAACAAAGAAAATTACATTTTCTCGCCAGTACAAAACCGAAATTACATTCACACAAGATACCATGTCCTGCGATGCCGAGAAATAGGTCTGTTAATACTACGCATATTGTTGTTATAAGTACTAGTATTATACGGCACGTCTGGGACAGAAAAATCGGATGTGAATCTGTGAAGCCATGATGGCCGGAAATGATGATGGAACAGAAGCAATTTTACAGTCGCAGTGAGACGAACTGATGAGAAGAAATCAGTCGGCAGTGCACACCAAACAAGCTACAGTTGAAGGAACCGACGAAGCAGGAGCAACGGATGATAACTATACGATGCGAAAAGTGCATGCATAGAATGAGCCAAAATAGCCAAATGCAGTCACAATAGAGGAGGTGTATTGTGGCGACGACCACAAGTCATATAATTTGATGTAACAAGTCAAATAATTATTAGTGGATATCCGCGTAGTCGCAAACGGAATGATATCAGTAGCAATCAAGCAACGATCCATGGAACGATGCAACTGTGTACATTGCCTAAAGACATTTATGGGGAAGAAATCACGGGCATGTGGCATAGTATATGTGTTACATGAACGGTAAAGATTTTAACAGAACAAGAAGATCGAAGATTTCTGCGGAATAATCTGAATTCATACATACAATGGGCGAAAAGTGCCAACGTTTGAGAGTAATAGGTCAATACCAGAAAGCGATGGTCAGTTGCGTTGGCTAGCCTGTCTTACCTTACCAGGCAAAGCAAGATTGGCCACAAACTAAAGCTGGTTGCCGCGGGATGGCGGCATCCTCAGCAAAACGCAAAAACTTGGGCTTGCACTGTCTAGTGATGACTTTGAACGTTATCTAGGGATCCAGTTCAAAATGCAAAGCGAAACGCCAGGAAAGTTACACTTCTTGGATGTCATCATTCATAATTATACACGTAAGCTAGAGGTGAAAAACCTCAACAACTGTGCCGCAATATATAAATAAAAAAGGAAAATAAATGCAACAGTCGCATGCCAGCTGAGCTAGCAACAACGGATGGGCATGGTTCCGGAAAGCTATCAGCCGGCTACTAGGCAACAAGAAAAATTATGATGTAAAATCGGTGGGCTGGCATGCCCAACACGTGGCCCAGTCATCGGAGTCTGGTGCGTGAAATAACGGTAATGAGCGGTTCAGTTCCTTTTCCTGTGCCATAAACAAGGAGTCGAACACGCTCGTTACTCACGCGGTGTTCCCACCAGCTGTGAGCCAAACTACGAAGGCACCGATGGTCGAACGTAACTAGCCTCTTTATGTCCGCCGATCTTAGGGGCCAGGTTTTGCATCCCTACAGTAAGGTCGAACGCACCGCTGCATGGTACACACTACACTTCAGAGCTAGAGTGATGTCGCGCCACCGCCATAGGTGGCGAAGGTTAGCAAAAGCACCTCGAGTTTTTGCTATACGGTTCGTGATCTCGTCTTCGATCCCAAGGGCACTGATACAAATTCCCAGGTAGTTGAATTTCCGAACGACTTCTAGCTGACCCCTACCAAGGGTCAGCGCAGGAGGTGATAGCTGTCAATCTTGGAGGAAAGCTTTGCATTTCGATGGTGCAAAGCATAGCCCAAAGCGGCTGACAGCCAGCGCTATTCTGTGCAGTGCAGCTTGGAACATCTGGGAGCTGTCACAGAGGAGGTCAATGTCATCTGCATACTCTAAGTCAAGAAGTTGTTCTCCTGGGAGTAGCTCCACACCTTCTAAGTCGTGTCCTGTAAATGCAATCTCCATGACTTCGTCAATAGCGAAGTTGAAGAGGAAAGGTGACAGCGGGCATCCTTGTCTCACACCGCTGGAGATATTGAAAGGCGGCGACAGCTTGCCGTAAGCCCTCACTCTGCTCGAGCTACGCGCGTATAATGCTCGGATAATATTTACATATTTCTCGGGCACACTTTTCTTGAGTAGACAGTCCCAAAGGGCACATCGATCAACCGAATCGAAGGCACCTTTGATGTCGAGGAACACGACAACGGTGGGCCGCCAATATGTGTGACGGTGCTCCAACAACTGACGCAAGATGAAGATGTGGTCGATGCAGCCACGACCCCGACGAAACCCGGCTTGCTCCTCACGAATCTGGCTTTCACGAGCGCCAGTCAGTCTGTGAAGGATTACGGAGCCAAGTGATTTGGAGGCGATGGGGATCAGACTGATTCCTCTATGGTTGCCGCATTCCGAACGCGAGCCTCCTTTGAAGATGGGAACAATAACGGAGCGGCTCCAGTCGATTGGGACAGTTTCCTGCTCCCACAGTTTCACTAGTAATTCGTGTAAATCATCAACAAGAACGTGGCCTCGGAATTTGAAGTGGGATGGATGAAGATCATCCGGTCCCGCAGCTTTCTTTAACTTCAACAGTTCGATCTCACGTTTGACTTTTGAGCGAGAGGGCGGATCCAAAGGGACAGCCTACGGAGGTGAACGACTACTGGCCGGTGAGGAATCGAACAATTCTAGCAAATTAAATTGCTTTTCAAAATGCTCAGCCCAACGCTCCAAATGTTTTTACAGTTTGTGCATAGGCTGTCCATTCTCGTCACAAATTGTTTCACTAACACCAGGTTCCCTGCTGCCCGTTTCCCGTATCAGCCGGAATAACTTACGATGGTTACCAAGGGTAGGGGCATTTCCATCTCTGAAGCACGACGAGGTCACCAGGATTCGCGGTCTCTCTTCAGGCTAGCACGGAGTTTTGCCCGGAGCTTTTTGCGAGTTTCAGTGTGTTCGGTTCAAGACGGAATATGCGGCGAACATCGATAAGTTCCAGAGACCGCGAAGAGACGCACTTCTTGGATGTAGCTTTGGAAAGACCAGATGGGTCGCTCTTGAGATCAATTTACCACTAACCGAGCTGGACGGGGCAATACCTAAACGACAGCTACTGCCCATGAGCTACAAACGCTCTCTGGTTCGTGCATCTTTTGTGAGAGGCCACCGTAGCTGTTCAGAAGAAACGATTTAGGAAGAACTACAGGGTACCGCATCCACCATACGTGAAAGTGGGTACGCTGACAAGTTTATTGAAAGGTACGGGGAGAAAATCAGGCCACACGAAGAGCGAACTGAAGCTTCAAATAATGTATTCATTGCACTGCCTCACAAAGGGGAAGAAAATGACAGAGGCTTCTGCTATCGCGTGCGTCATGCCATAAAGAGATGTTACTATACAAGTGAGCTTGTGTTGCTTCACAGAACCATAAAGCTAGTACATGAATCCAATTTGGACAGGCCTCACTCTACTGTCACCGCCTCATTTGTTTATCAGTATAAGTGTACTTGCGGTAGCGTGTACATCAGCCGGACAGAGGAGCTTGTCCACTAGGATTTCAGAACACATTCTGCGGAACCTTGCTCTCAGTGGCGCAACATTATCTACCAGCTCTGTTGACCGGCACTTATTCGACAGCACGATGTGCCAGAATCCCCGCAAAGCATTCAAGGTCATCAACAGACACAGCAACCCTAATTTGTTGCGTTCTGTTGAGACTGTCACCATCAGGCGATTGAAGTCTAACCTATGTAGACAACTTGGAGTTTGTGGAAAATCTTGCTTTGCCTTGGCCAGGCTAGCAGACACAACTGACCATCGATTTCTAGTATTGACCTATTGCTCCCAATCGGCTGAAATTTTCACCCAGTGTATGTAAGCGGCTGAAGAGAATACACGAAATATACTGAATTCAAAATATTCCGCAGAAATGTTCGTTGTTCTTGCTCTCTTCAACTTTTTGAAAGGGCAAAGAGCCAGCTAAAAACGGGTAATGCATCGGATCCAGTCCCACCTCCGGCATGATCGCAGCACTAACCATGACCTTCAGCGGCATGTTTTAATAGAATCGACGTAGCTAAAACAGCGTGACACATGCACAAACGCATGAACGAACACTGCTCACGTTGGTTGCATCACAGTGGCACTGGGATCGTTAGCAGCTCCGTTCAGATCCATATCGTCGACAATGGATATCAGGTGGATGTAAAACAAGCATAGCATTAGCATAGGGTACAAGATTTATCCGCACCGATCGAAAATGCCACGGCTTCTTACCCTTGCCACTGTTGAGGCAATTTACATTCGATTGTTGAACTCCTGCTTATGCTCGTAAAAGAAATTATTCCATACACCTCTGCTTTCCTCGCCAGCGAAAACGGAAGACGCAGAGGTCAACTAACTACGGTCAAACTCCGTAACATGCAATTATGCCATTAACGCGCAGCTCACTTTTATCGTTGTGACCATAACAAACTTGATATATTTTACTTCCTTTTTAGCCCCTTTTTATGACTGTGATGGACTGAAGATGAACCATTGAAAGTAATTGCTCGTCGAATGGTCTTGTTGTTCACGAAAAGTAGAAAGATCAAACAATAGGTATATTTATGTAAATAATACCTATACGAAGAGCAGGGGGCGTTATTGAATGGATTCACCTCACCCAAAAGTTTTGATGGGAGAGTGTGCACACAATCGTGGATAAGGAAATTTAAAATATACAGCAAAAGGGTGAAACGATACAGGGTAGCACACGATCCTCTGATAACGGAGCAGGTGACATCAAGTCCTAGAAAGCGATTAGCACAACGAGTGTCCCTCGTTAAGGTTGGATCACCGAAATGAAGAAGAGAACCTGAGTGTATTGTACTGAATGTGTTCAGTCCGATTAGGATGAGGGTTGGTGGGAAATACAAGAAGTGCTCATGTTTTCAAACGATAAGAGGGAACAAATTCAAAAGGTGTATAGTCCAGTACAGATATGTGAATAATTTAACCCTTAATCGGCGTACTTTGCGAGAAATTTGGTGTGGAAATCTACCAAGCTGCTCAAGACCACCTTCATTTGTTCCACGGAAGGTAAGATTGTTGTTCTGTGGAATAAAAGAGACGAAATTACGAGTGGAGAGAAAGAACAAGCTCGGCGTATGTTGGTGATGTAATCCGCTTCGTAATGAAAAACCCATCAAAGTCGATAATAAAAAAGTGCCGCACCGAATCGACTATCATTGTAGATGGCACTACAACACATAAACGAAGACGATTATTGAGAGTAAAGGGAAGGAAAAATGTCATCAGCAGTAAACCGATATAAAGCGCCGATGCCTCGCTACCACGCATGCACAAGCGGTTCTGCGTAGGTTAGGATACTGTAGTGTCCAAAGCCATGCAGGAGTGCGGGCTCGAATCCAAGAATTGGAAGGTGCAAGTCACAAACCTGAATCATGACACTGTGGATTCCATAAAGGGAGGGAAGTTTGCATTGGGAACGTACCTTACCAGAGTGGTAGGTGAAGACATGTTGTTTGAACAAGCATCACTACATCGACGCCTCGGTGCTACGCAACCACCGCTAGATACATACGGGCTAAAGCCACTCGAACCAACGCACATTCCAATTGGCGACAAGTAGAGTACGATAAAGAGGTATTATGCACTAGGCTACCGGTTGACCACAGAAAATGAATGAACACATCTAGCCTGCAAAAGACCATCTGCGTCAAAGCAAGATGGGCATTAGAAACTCTTAATCTCGACGTGACTGGATTTTGACGCGGTGCGATGGTTTGAGTGCCTCAAAGATCCACTAAGCTATGCTAGGTGGCGCTTTTGGCACCTTCAGTGCCATTCATGCTATGATGGCCAGTGGGTTAAGTCATCAGCAGTGCGCCGGTACGCAGTACCGACGCTTCGCTGCCGCGTAACCACTACCAGTCGCACGTGGGTTAAGGATACTGCTCGGGTGGCCGGGTCCCTACGCAGGCTCGAACCAGCGCACTCGGACTACAAGGCAGGCTTGTGATCCTTAAGGCTATGAAACGGCGCAGCCAGTGGTTAGAGGCCAGATAGACTTAGTCTCCCAGGGCTCCAGGTTTGGTGTTTCCAAAGTAAAATTGCCCTGTAAAGTGGTCAGGTTTTTGAACCAAAGGTTTTGGTTAAGAATCCTAACTCCTATCTTGTCTACACTTGGGCAGTCGAGCAGAATACTGAATAAACAATACAATACCAAGCCCTTTAAATGGTTTCTCGGAGCGCTGACCATAGACCCGGTGGCTTGACTTGCCATTCGGGACTTATTAATCAGGAAAAATGTACCATGGAATAATTTACGCACGTACGTCAGAGAAACTGTTGTCGCAATTCAATCTTTTCAGTGGTGTGGAACACTGATACGCCGTCACCTTTGCCTTTTAAATTCTCAATGAAAACTGCGTTCATTGGACCCGACGTGGAAGGTGTGGAACTGTATCCAGATGATGAAATACTTGACTTGGAGCATGCCGGCGGTATTACTTTAATCTGTGACAGTTCACAGACGTTCCAAACAGCAATGAACAGATAAGCATTGGGTGTTAATCGTTTCGGGCTGTGCTTTGTACCCTACAAACGCAAAGCTGTCCACCAACTTTAGCAGGGACTGTTCCCTGAGTTGATTACTAATAGTGATGCCGTTCAGCAATTCCAGCCTGTGCTCAACTTCGCCATCCGTGACATCTACACAATATCATGTTTGTCCTGAAGGGTAGTGTCTACAATGTAAACCTCTGTTCAACCTTGCTATGCGGTTGTGAAATCTGACATATCATTTTGACAGACATAAAGGGACCTGCTCCGTTCAACCACCGATGGCTTCGCGGGTTGGCTCACATGTAGTGGGAACAACATGCGTGCGATGGTTGTGTTCGCTGCCTTGTTTGTGGCACAGAAAGTGCACCGTTAGATCACGCACGAGTCTCCGAGGCCTGGGTCACGTGTTGCGCATACCAGCACACCGACGCGGACTCCCGCGACATGCGTTGTTTGCGGGCGACCGGGGTCTGGGTGGAAGAAGAGAGACCGATTGATGGTGTGGTTAAGAAAGGTGAAGACTCTCATTTCGAACAGGGCCTCAGTGGGTGCCTCCCGGCTGCTACGTTGGGGTCCGAAAGAGGATAAACATGTCTAGTTAGTACACTGGTTGACATAGTGCGGAGCCGACTTCAGTGGCGTTTGTGTTGTAAGTGACTTTATCTCGCATCCTCCTGATTAATCCCCATCCGATGTATTGGAAAAAGCAGCATAAATTAAAGATTTGGTTTTACTAATTTGCTTCTTATGGTTACGCAGTTGTATTGTAATGCGGTAAAATAGTTGAGGTGGTTCTCGTTTCTAACTAACGTGTGCGATGATGATGATGACGTCCAAGGTAAAAAGGAGACAAATTAATGGAGTGCACGAACAGCATCAAAAAGATACAGCATGAGGGGCGAATCTATGGGCACAACAGTACCAAAACACCTCAAAAGCAGATCGGCGAACCAACCGAAAAGGTAGTTCTGTTAGCATTAACGGTACGCTGAAATTAGTTCACGCACAGTGAGGATTAAAACTGCTTTTATGAATGTGCAACACACACTGGATCTTAGAAAGTGTGTGCACAGACCCACAGGTGTCTCATATCTACAGTGGGGAGACTTGACTGTTTCGACCCAAAGACGTCTGGGTTTCTTCAGGACTGTCATCATGGTTGCCTATGCAGTATTGCTTGTGGTTGTTGGCACCAGCGGGTGCGAAAGGAGAAAGTGCTCAGAGAAGTGGTATACAGCGATGGTTGTGTTAGCTCATGCGACGATGGAATGATACCGAATAATTTGCATAGGCTTGGGCCCATTTATGTAAGCCAAGTGACCGCTTGCCGAGGATAGCCTTGTTTTGTTTGTCGGGTATGGGGAAAAAGTTGGGCTAGCAGCGGAAAATAAATTCGTGGACAATTAAGTTGGGTTTAATTGGTCCACCTCACTCTCCAGGTGACCTTGAGCGAACGTGCGTGCAAATCGCTCACTTGTGCACTCGTGGTTTTTCACTGTGGCTCAGCGGCATTTTGTCGCACACCTTTGGATCTATACTCATTCGTCGTGCTTTTAAAAGCTCCACCTTGTGATACTATTTCTCGAGTACACTCCAGTGCATTCTACATTTACCCTGAATTCTAAATTCCGGGCAGTGTTTCGCCGATATCCAAGCGCCAAAAGTTGCCTAACTCCAACCATCGGAGACATTGTTTGGTCTCACTCGATAGACCATTTCAACGGCTTTCGAACGAACTGTCACTCGTTCAAATCCAACATTGCTTGGAGCAGCTACAGGTCTCAAGGCAAATTCACCCGGCGCGATCCATAGGCTTAACCACGAAAATTCTCAATCACACCCTCGTGTAATCTGCCCCACGTTCAAGCTGACACATTCGACTGGCACGCCAGAGAGGACAGTCTGCGAGCACACAACTGCAACGTGAACACTGTGACCTTGCCGACAACGTCAATAACAGAACAACTTTTTACCATAGAGGGTGAGTCATTCAAATGGTTCGTAACATTTCCTCAACAAGCGCGATGCCCAGTGTGCCACAGTCTAAAGACCTATGTGGATCATGTTCCAAACTTGTTAAGGGGGCATTTTGTGCCGTAACTGTTGCAAGTTTTCCATGCGAGATGCCTCCGAGTTAAACCTAGTCAGGCCAAGTTATTAAACAAACCAGACTCTCTATGGTTCTGCGTGGAATGCACATCTATCCCACTGATAAAAAGCGTGCTCCTATTATCTCAGAAGTACGACCAGCTACTAGCCAAGTTTGAGGAAATGGTGACCACCAAAATCACTACGGTTGGGGTAAGCATAGCGGACTGTGCAACCCAATCCTCCCCCGTAAGTGCTGCTCCTATCCCGAGAAGAACTGCTAGTAACACCGTAAGCAACACGACACCTAGAGTCCAGAACATCAACTGCTGTTCCAATACCACACGTGGCTCACATTTGACTAATGCGGTTCCCAGTTTGATCGGAGTAACTACACGTAAGGCTACTTCCAAACTCCCGACGGAGTGCGTAGAAAAAGAGCAAGCCGGTACTAGCGAAAGTTGGGTTACGGTTGCTTCCAAGAAGAGCCGTCATTTAAAATTAACATCACCCCCAAATGGATCGGATACTGAGGAGCGTAGCGGAGTTTTCCTAGTGCAAGCACCACCGGTTTCCTGCGGTACATCTCCGAGTATTTCAATCACTAACCGCGACATGTCGAAAGGTGTAAAGAAACAACTACCTGTACTGAGCGTACTGTGCTCCAATATCCCAGAATCAAAGTCGACATCAATAAGAGGCAGGCAGTTGGATGACCTCAACCAGTGGGATATTATTAGTAACCTAATCGGAGTTGTACTGAAACCTGTACACGTAGTGCGTATTACGCGACACCCCAACTCTAAGCATTTCGGAGAGCCAAGACTTCTGCGCGTTGTGCTGAACTCCATCACTGAAGTAGAATCAGTACTACTGTCGACAGGTAGTCTCAGAAATGAACACTGCTCCATCCGTATCTTTCCAGACATCCCATGGGGCGAGCGTTATCGAGTTAACCGCAACTTAGAGGACTACCGGAAGGAAACTTCAACCAGAACCATACTTCTTCACGGGTTCCTGAAACTGAAGCATGTGATGAGCATGAAATAATAACCCATGATAAAGAACAGTGGTGTTATATTCGTGAAACACTCTGCTTGGATGATGTGTTAGCGAAATCCGTGTCACGGCTGCGTACCTCACCGAACTACAAAGGAAGTGGCCCGAGAGTGTTGAAGGTGGTCCTTCAGTCAAAACATATGGTAGCACGGCTGCTAAAAAGCTGGTACATGTTCCGTTGCAGGCTACCATCTGAGCTTCGGCTGAAGACAGTCAGCGATATGCCTCCTAGAGATGATATGTCACTCAAAGAACCAAACGCGATGGGATCTATAAAAGAACAATGCACCAGTAGTGTGTCGAATGAGCCCATACAACCTGTAGAAGATGATATTGACCAGACACCTTACACTGTACGTAGAAGATTAGACACGGGACTAACTACGCGGACGATGAATAAGACGTTAAACCCTTCACCAAGTACACATCGAAAAACGATTAGTCGCCGGCCACTCACTGGTCGGCGAAACTTCACGTATGAATTGCACAACCTCCGAAACATTGCTTAAATCTGAGAAACTTTCATGTATGTACACTAACGCCCAAGGGCTCCTCAGTAAACTTACCGAACTTCGACTACGTCAGGTTGCGAATGCTTGGGACCTAATTTCTATTACCGAAACTTGGTTACACCAAGAGGTGACTGATGCTGAGGTTGAGATAGCCGGAATGTCACTCATCCGGAACGACCGCTCCAGCAGAGGAGGTGGGGTCCTACTCTACTACCGCAGCGATCTGCAATGTGCAATAGTTGATGATCTGGAAACTCACGTTACCGACTCACTCTGGTGCCGTCTCCGACTAAGACACAACGACGCATGTCTCGTAGCTGTCGTTTACCGCCCCCCAACGTCCACTCCGGAAATGGATTCCTGCTTGATACGTGGCCTGAACAGAGTAACACGCACTAGGTACAGCCACATTCTCATCTCCGGGGACTTCAATCTACACGATCTGGAGGTTTCGGCATCGCAGTTCAAAGCAGACTTGCATGAACTGATCGCTAATATTCCTTTGTACAATCATGTCACCACGCCCACTAGATTCAGGACAGCAAACAAACCGTCCATATTGGACCTTGTGCTCACGAATGAAGAGCTCATGGTTGACAAGTTGTTGATGGATAGTCCATTAGGTCTCAGTGACCATGTAGTAATAAGTTTTGACTATTACTTGTGAATGGAAGGATTTTGGTGAGTATTTTTGTTCGTCGCAATCAGCCGACAATTCAGATATATCGACCAGCTGTCCGGAAAAGCACAAGATGGCCGTTTCGCCCTATTGGGGCTCATCAGTGGTGCGCATCCTTCGGTCCTCTGCGGAGGATCGAACCCATGACTGCTAGTGGCTCTTGCCAACTAGCCCGCAGCTTATGCAACTGCGCCATGGAGGTCGGTATCTGACTATCGTGAATTGTTAGCTAAATGCGATATAGCCCGACGCATCCTCCACTGCCATGCAGGCACCTGCCATGCAGATGACAGTGGTCGGCCTTCCGGCATCAGGACTTCCCGGTTACGGCAGCTATGAATCGACATAGCATTTTGTGGAATCCGTACGGGCGAATTGGTATTACTTGTGAATGGAAGGATTTTGGTGAGTATTTTTGTTCGTCGCAATCAGCCGACAATTCAGATATGTCGACCAGCTATCCGGAAAAGCACCAGACGGCCGTTTCGTCCTATTGGGGCTCATCAGTGGTGCGCATCCTTCCAGAGTATCCATCTGAACACTCGGAAATAACTCATACAATCACATGCTACCACGTATTGAAAGAAGTCGTCGACGCAGCTGCTTGGGAATTCTCAAACAAAAGTCCACTTGACAAGGTTTGGGCAGAGTTCATTAATAGACTCAGCGACATCGTCAACAAAGCATCAGAGACCGAGCCCCTTCGTCCCGCAAAAATGCTCACAATTCTAAGGAGCAGAACTCGAAAATGTCTGGCGATGATGGGTGTGGCATGGCGTGTCTACAAGATTAACCCCGACTCAGAGACTTGGGGCGATTTCTTAACCAAGCGCAACCATTGCACTGCACTAAGTCTGTGAGGACAAAGTACCTTATCAACAGTGCCTAGCCAAAAAACTCATGGCAAACAATAAATTGCTGTATAGGCATACCAATAATCTTTGTAAAGTGAAGCATGACATTCCTCCACTTTTCATGACAGGCGGTAGAGTACACAGCGCCGAAGAAGCAGCTAATGCCCTGCGGCTACAATACGCCCCAACTGTCGAACTCGTAACCTCTACCTGTCCTATAATCTCATGCACATTACCGACTCCAATGTTTACAAATGTAATTTCCAACCCATCAATTGTGCTAAGGAAGTTACTCTCACTGTGTGAGCATAGTTCTCCAGGAGCAGACAACATCCGCCCGAAGGCACTGAAGGCTACGGCCACCAAGCTGGCTGAACCACTGTCACAGTTCTTCCAAAGGTGTTTCGATGAACAACAAGTCCCCACTATGTGGAAGCGTGACATTATCACTCCTATTTTTAAAGGCGGTAGCCGTTCAGATCCTACAAACTATCGCACAGTGACTCTCCTTCCTGGGCTCGCGAAGTTGATGGAAGCAGTCGTCGCTGAGGCTTTAATGGACTAGATGGAAAAATGCAATATCTTGGCACCGGAGCAGTATGACTTCCGTCAACACCGGTCATGCACCACCAACTTACTGATTGCACGAGGTAGTTGGACGGAAGTGGCTGATGATGGGGTCGGAGTTGACATCATCTACCTTAACTTCGCCAAAGTTTTCGAGCGCCTGGATCCCAGTATCCTACGTCACTGGCTACAGGAATACGTAATCGGAGATCCTGTTCTTGATTGGGGTTGGTTGGCTTTATTCACCAACGGAAGCTTCAAGCACGCATTAGAGGATCACTCTCTAACTTGATTGAGGTAGAATGTGGTGTTCCACAAGACTCAGTGATGGGACCGCGCTTATTCCTGGTGTTTATCAACGACCTAGCAGGAGTAATTTCCTCAAATTTCCTGCTTTTCGCCGATGACGTCATGACGGGCGATTAGTAACAATGAAGATCACGATATACTCCAATATGACCTAGATTGCATTTATTAATGGTCAAAGAGGAACCTGCTTCAATTGAACATAGCTAAGTGCAAAGTGATACATCTGCGTCACCAGCCGGTGAGCGCTTACAAGCTTGAAGACCACACCTTGGAGAAGGTCTCTCAGGAGCGTGACCGGGGTGTATTGGTACAGGAAGATCTCGGGTGTTCAAAACAAGCAAAGAAGGCGACGGGAACCGGCAATCACCACTTCGGTCTCTTTCGCAGAGTCTTCGGTCGGTTTGAATCCTAAATCCTTCCCCAAATGCTTAACGCCTACGTGCGACCACAGTGGAATATGTTATCCAGACGTGACAGAAAAAGGATCTCGTTGCTCTCGAGACGCCTCAACAAAGGGCAAGCAAAAACGTTAGAGGCCTGTTTCATCTGCCCTATCAGCTTAGAGTGAAATCTCTAGGAATGTACAGCAGTTGATATCGGCTTTTGCGGGGGGATCTCATAACGGTTTAGCAGATTCTGAAGAACCCAAACCACATTTGTCGTCCGCTGCTGGAATTGAACCAGAACACTAACCTAAGAGGTCATGCTCTGAAACTGACAATTCAGTATAGCTGGCTTGAATGCCGTAGAAATTTTTTCCCGTCCGCGTGTGCCAGCCTCGGAATGCCCTCCCTAAGTACGTTGTCTCTGCTCCCGACCTAGCTATATTTAAAAAACGAATTTGTATTTCATTTTATGAATTGTTAGCCAGAGGCTACAAAACCGAATCAAACGGTGTCTTACCAAACTCCCAACCAATGAATGTATACTTTTAATACGCGAACATCCCCGCCATTCTACATAAATCTGTGGTGAGTCCACCAAAACGCTTTTCACTTTATCATGCAATTTACTTTTCGCAATAATTTCCATCCCACGGGACTCGTTAAGCATTGCTTTTTTACCCGTAATACACCATGGTTCCATTGTTCCATATACTAAGGGTGATGGCGCGCAGCCAAGGCCAGTGGCCTGGTTACCATTGTATCCTGGTCTGAGACGTATCTGACCCTGAGGTATCTGGAGTGATGGTGATTACGACGCGAAGAAGCGAAAGCCAAAAAAGCGCCTGCTCGCTGATGTCGCTCTAGCTTCCCACGACGACCAGTCATATTCGAATATAGCTTTACTAAGGTATATGGGTATTACCCCGGCTTCTCAGTGTGCCCTATTCCTCCTAGTGACGTTGTTTTCATTAGGTGTCAGTGAAGCATCGGCACAAATTACTGAAATGCCGCTGTTGTTGGCGAGGAGACCAGTGAACTCACCGAAAGTGATAAGTACCATGGGTTTGCCCAAACCCAGAGCCTGGAACTATACACACACCCTTTTCTTCCAGTAATCGGATGCAGTAGAAGAAGTCCGGCTTCTGGCCACATTTCTGCAAAAGAAAGAAGTAGTGACAGGTAAGAGGACGAATTGATGTACGCAACACACGTTAGACACCATCATCATTATTATCAACAGCAGTACATCAGCTATTTGAACTGATGCTTCACTGTCGTACAATCACGGTTAGCTACGGAACGAAGAACAATAAGAGGGGAGAAGTAGAACTTACCGGAAAGCCTTAATGCCCAAAACAAAAATCCAGGGTTAAGTCCACGACGCTGTCTCAAACAGCTGGCTATCGTGCAAAGATAAGGTGGCATCGGCGAAACAACTTCCTTGCGGTTTTCACTGCCCCGCGACATAAGTAGCCATTACCCCGCAGAAAACTCAGCACAAAACATCCTTTAAACAGGCAGTTCGACTTGGAGATGGCAGCAGATGCGCCACGAACGTAAACTACGAGCTATGTCCCGTAAAGTCTCGGGCCAAGCACAAGATGAGTCATGTGAACTCCAGTGCGGAAGGCGAGAAGGACCAACAGCACTCAGTTTGCTTGTCAGTGACTTCATTTCCCACTGCTAAGACCCTCCTCGGTAAGCGGTGATCGGATATATCCAGTAACTTCCCAAACCAAGGTGACTTATTAAGTGCCATCTGTTGTTCTAAGGAAGTAGCATGACTATCACTGCCTAATACTCACCTACGCACATCATCGTTGCGGATGCGATGGTGCTATCCGACATCAGCAATGCTCTGCAGACAGCGATGATCACAGATTTGAAGGCGCCTCAGGTCCTCAGACCGAAGGAGCCAAGTCTCACACTACTCACCGTGCCCTTAAAAAAGTTGCGGTTTAAAATTAGAGTCAAGGACGGAAACGGGACCTTTTCTCAATCGTAGCCAACACTTTCAAAGAACGACGAGCTACACACGAAAATCTCGGGCATTCTACAGTGTTCAATGGGGAACCTTAAGGCCAAATGCTCGTTACACAAAGAGCACGTATCCCGCTCATCGGGAAACATACCAATTTATGTATTTATTTAAGCCCTGACAGATTCATAGAAACATATCCGCAAATCAATAGGAAGTAAACAAAAGTTGAAGGAAACTACAGCCCTATTAGGAAGAGGGCGATGAGGACCATTTAGGCACTGAGAAGATTCCACAAAACATAATATCGCCGATGACTTAAACTTCGGCTGGACTACAAGTCGATGGTGGTTATCTTCAGCACCAAGAACGTAATCCTGCATAAACCGTTAACTGCCTTAACGCTGAGTGTTCACTCTCTAGGGTTTTCACATCTTGTAGCGAACATCAGAATATCTGCTACAGATCAATCGTTCTCATCAATCAAGCTGATTTATTGTCCCACCCCAACAGCTCCCAACAGGGACAACACGAGGACACAGCTGAGGTTGGGTTTGTCTTCGAATTCTTTGCGAGCCACGAATTGTGTAACTTGAGGTAGCTCGTTGGATTGGAACCTAACACTGAAGCAGGTCACATGTTTCCGTTGAGCCAACTGGCCAAATTCTTGTTCATAAACCGAACTTCAGTAGCTACTGTTAAAGAAGCGACAAAAATACAGGTTTGCGGGTGCAAACGTTTATAACGACAGAGCACTGTTTGTTGAGTCTACACTGACATTTGATTCAAGGTGCCATTTCATTAGTCTCACTGCCTATAGTTGCTTTCGTTTACTGATCACATTTTTACTTCGATGCTAACGACCTCACTCTCCTCTCGTTTTTTGCATCCGATTGGTCTTTGAATTACTCGATTCTTATAGGTTTTGCCGAGTCGCACGTCTTCAGTGCTCTGGTTGGCGTTTACAATCACGCGTCTGCCAGCTTCCACGCTGTATAAACAGCGCCGTTTTGCTCTGAAAATGACCCTGAATCCTACTCATGCTCGTATGTGTGCTCACTACAGTTAATGGGTGGAAGTAGTCACGGGTACGACACAACAAGGATCACGGAAGGATACGTGAAAAGCACTTTTTGTTTTCAGAGAAGGTTGCTTTTTCGAAGGTTAAAAAGCCTACGCTGGCAGTCTCGTGCATAAAACCCAAAAGTGAGATGATTTCTAGTAGCTCCGACTAATGGCATGTGTAGAACAACTGGAAGCATTGGTCGGAAGCCACCATATTTGTACCCCTAAGTCAAAAAACAAAGCTTCGTTTATGCTTACCACCTTATAAGTCCTGGGGTCCCGGATAGTTTCGGATTCGGTTCGGAAAGAGGTCAGAAAGTCCTCTCACAATTGACACACACGGTACATGACTTGACACTTTTCTTATGGAGAGTATAACGATCACCGCCCCTGTCACAGTACTGCAGTAGAGTTTCAACAGACTTAGTTTCACAGAGACAAGTGTAACAATAGAAGACATTTCTACGGAGTTCTGTAAATGTTCGCTGAACTACGATCCAACTAAATGAATGTAGTGGAGAGATTTGTGGACGCATTTAAGCGTACTTTTTCATCGAAATGACGGGGATTATCATATAGCGATAAATTTCTGTTCCTTTGTCTGTCAACATAAAATCTGAGACCACCGGAAGGAGTTTAACAGGCGGAAATATCGGTGAATTAAAGACACATTCTGTCAACCGTGACGCAGCTCGTGACCAGTTTCATTAGCAGTAGGCGATGAGAGGAATATCAAAATGCGACAAGATTTCAATTGATGGCAAAGTGTAAGGCAATATCCAACCAAGCCCGGATCGTCAGTGCCTGAAAGCGACCACTGGGTTGAATTGAGAACAGGGTACTGCCATTGGAGACATGCCGCATGGATGTCAGGTATGAAACAACCAGCTAAAACATTTAACGCAACGGTGTGTACACCAAAAGAGAAGAAGACCGCCGAATTTCCGTTCGAAGGATGCAGTAGACACTTCCGATCAACCGACAGATTCGACAAACATTAAGAGTCAAAAGATGCCTCCAGAATCCTCTCAAGGAAGCAATGTAGCGATGGATTAAAGATGCAGCAACTACCTAATAGAGGAAATGTCCAGAAAAAGGCAGAAATTTCCCAATAAAAGACTTGAACTAATAATGTACAGTGAAAACGTCTAAAAGAAGTTACGGACATCCCTCAGTGCTTTTACTAGCCTGTAGAAGGTCTCTAATAAGTTTAAGCTGAATCTTCCCTAAGTTGAGATTCAGCAGATTAAAAATTTAAGTATCGGATGAATCTGATACGGAAAAGTAAAGTCTTAAGGGTGAGATTCAACCTGTTTGTACTGTGTATTGGGAGATGTGCCAATGAGTAATGTTTAATAGAGTCTGAGTTTGGCAAATACTTGGAATTAGCAGAAAACGAGACTATTTGTCGCCAGAACGGCAAAGAATTAGTGAAACACGACATCAATCTCTCCTTACAGCTTAACGTTAGTACAAAGGCAAGCACTAGGCTAAAAAGATTTCGCGTTTAGCTCTAACTAATTACGGTCCTGAAAAAGTAATAATGCTAAAAGCTGGTTGCGGAAATCAGGCGTCCAAGGAACGGTTACTGATGGAACATTGTCTCGACCGGCGGACAGCAACGGGAACTCGAAGCACCGCTGCGAAGGATCGCACGTAGAGTAACGAAGGATTTTGCGAACTCCACAGGTGATGTCTGTGAAAGGAGCTGACCGAATGTTTAAAGTGTAAGGCATCCGGTAGACAGTAATCCTGTAGTGTATCTTTTACATTTTACTACACAACCTTCCGGTCAGCTGATAACATCCTCAGCTGTATCGACTATTCGTTCAAACACCTCATACACTTCATCATCGACCAACATTCCTTTTTTGAATCGCCGGCTGACTCTAGACCACCTTGTGTACAACATCTGGGAGCCCCAAAATACAATCATGGGAATACATGTTTTCATTCCCTTTTGGCATCCAAGAATGACCGGTTATTAATCCAGGAATTCCTCAACCTAAAAAGCATTACCATAATATGTGTTGACCAAAATACTATAAGTGGAGACGGTAAGTGGATACGATAACCCACTAAACAATCTCGTTGAAATGTGCTAGAGAAATAACTGGATAGTAGCACATTAAATTTTGTAGGAGTCTGGAAGCACAGTTAGATACATAAACGCATACTAGGTCAAGATGTATGGGGACGCCTACCAGCTGTGATAAAGTCAATGATCCCAAAACTTCAACTAGTAGATGACAGAGGAAGTAACAGTAATCGCGCAGTATCCAAGCAGGTGATGAAGTTAGGTGCACAGTTAAACCGGATAGCTTACCTCGGCGGCCTCAATCGCTTTTGCTGGCAGGCTGATACGTGGGAATGCGTACATCGCACCCTGGACAATATTGCACGAAACGCCTGGCATAGCATCGAAGGACGCCTTGACCATTTCTGCCTTGTGGCGCAAATCCTCCAAGATGGCGTCTCGCTCGGCATTATACTGTGCATAAGATGGCTCATGCTTCTTGGGCGGATTGACAAAGCAACCAACCATGGCCTGAGACGGTGGAGGGGATAGGTTGTGTGAAGGACAATTTGAAGAATGAATTAGAGAAGCGAAACAAGAAATTACATATGCCTGAAATTGGTGTGACAGAGTACTGTCGAATGAAATCGAAGCAGTGGCAGTCAGCAGGGCACAGCTGAGGTGCGCAGTGGAACAGTGAGAAAAAGAAAAGGACGTGTACGGCGCCTACAGAGGGACCAAGAGTAGCTTGAGCTGCACCACCACAGCTCTATCCACACCCCCATATCCAGTGTGAATCCGAAGGAATAAGACCGGGAGGCATGTGGATGGGAGCCACGTTTCATCAACGGAGCCGGCTCACATTCCTTCACTGGCAAACACAAGCACGCTCTATTTGGGGAATCAAGCGCACACAAGGCAGTGGTTGGACCGTAGTCCGCTGTACACTGAGTGCATGGAACCACCCTTTGATTCTAACACGTCCAAAAGGACCGTGCACCCCGTCCCCTTCAGCAACAACCAACTGTCTCCTAGAGCCAGTATGGAGATTCGTGAGGAGCAAGCCGTGTTTCGTCGGGGTCGTGGCTGCATCGACCACATCTTCACTTTGCGTCAGTTATTGGAACACCGTCACACATATTGGCGGCCCACCGTAGTCGTGTTCCTCAAATTCAAAGGTGCCTTCAATTTGGTTGATCGATGTGCCCTTTGGAACTGTCTACTCAGGAATGGTGTGCCAGAGAAATATGTAAATATAATCTGAGCATTATACGCGCGTGGCACGGGCAGAGTGAGGGCTTACGGCAAGCTGTCGCCACTCTTCAATATCTCCAGCGGTGTTAGACAACGATTCCCGCTGTTACCTTTCCTCTCCAACTTCGCTATTGACGAAGTCATGGAGATTGCTTTTACAGGACATGACTTGGAAGGTGTGGAGCTACTCCCAGGAGAATGACTTCTTGACTTAGAGTATGCAGACGACATTGCCCTCATCTGTGACAGCTCCCAGACGACCTCATTTCGTTGCGTAAAACATAATAATTTTTCTTTTGACCTAGTAGCTGGCTAGTAGCATGCCGGAACGATGCCTATCTGTTGTTGGTAGCTCAGCTGGCATGCAACTGCTGTATTTATTTTCCTTTTTTTATGTATTGCGACTCCGTAGCTGAGGTGCTCCCCACCTCTAACTGAGGTGTATGAAAAAAAGAGCCAGTATGGACGAGGTAGTGGGTAATAGACAGGTAGGCACCTTGTCAACATGCATATCAAGCGTAGCCACACAGGGGGATATCAAGCAACAGCCAATCACTTGAGAGAAATACAACAGAAAATAAATCGAGTAATGCGTAAGGAAAGGGTGACGTAAAGCTTAAATTAATGATCCTATGAAAGAAGTTGTTAACAAAAGAATCCGAGATAAGTTCACGAGGTCCGAAAGTATATTTTACGGAAATGCCACAACCTCGAAAATGTTATCGAAATTAAATACAATTAGCTTAAGCGACGTGTGCGAGTTTATAGAAGAGAGTATAGGTAAGTATTTATATGTGAAAGAAAAGCATTAGCACAAAAATGAAAACCCACCACCGGAAATAAATAGATTTAGCATGCAAGCACGCGATTAGTAAATCGAATGCAGCGTACCTACAAACGCTGCGCCGGTTCTGCCTACGTTCTCTGCAGGACCAGTCGTCGCTTCAGCAGTGGTCCCGAATGGCCTTGCTCATGGCTCGCTAGGCTTGCCTGACTCACGCACTCGCGACCGCATGTGCTACAGCACCATGTACTTGATGTCGATGGAGTACAACCCATCAGTGCTTGCCCCTTACGCACTTGCAGCCTCTTCTCTGCATGTATGAGGTCTTTCTCCCGCACTTCAGCAACTGCCTTCGTGAATTGATCGCGCCATGCACGCCGGTCAACCGCCTTGGATTCCCATGACCTGCAATCAAGAGTAGAACGTGACAGACTCACTTTGATCATGTAGTAGGATCGTAACTTTGGTTTCCCCACATGCCGCTTCCCAATACTCAGCTGAGCGTATAAGGGTGGTTTCGGTATCCACGTCGAATCCACACGGCTCACATGACCGACCCACCTCAGATGTCTCAGAAAAAGTATGCAGTCCACTGCATACATACCGCTGCCGCAACACTTCCGTGTCTGCAACTCTGTCGCCCCAACCGATGCGCAAAATCCGTCGCAAACACTGCTGATGGAACCGCTCGAGATATCGCACATCTCGCCGGTACATCGTCCAAGTTTCACCGCCGTATCCAATAACGGACACTACCATGGATTTGTACACCATCAGTTTCGTGTCGATGATAAGCTGATCGTTGTTCCACACTCGGTACTCCAGCTTCCCGAATGCCGCCGCTGCCTTCGACACAGGAATACGCAGCTCACTGTGTGGCTGCTGATCAGTCGACAACATATTCTTAGGGTAGCAGAAGCGGGAGGTGGTTTCCTATACTCCAGCATCAAGGCTGATTCGCGGCAATATTGAAGATTGCACCTCCGGTGAAGGCTGAAAGAGGCAGACAGTTTTGCTTGTGTTGATGGTGAGCCCAAATTTGGCCGCTGTCGAAGCCAGAGCACTAGTCATGTGCTGCAACTCATCCGCGCTGTGTGAAAACAACGCACAGTCGTCAGCAAACAGCAACATACGGATAGTTGTCTCACAGACTAGAGTTGTCGCACCGAAACGACGGATGTTCAGCAACCCACCATCAATACAGTGCTCCACACGAACACCGTAAGTACAAGCGGCATCAAAAGCACAAGACAACATTGCATGAAGATATATATAAAACACGGCAGGAGTCAAGACACGGCCTTGCTTCACACCAGAGACAACTGCAAAGTCATCCGAGGTCTCTCCACTCAGCTGCACCCTCGCTCGCATACCACTGTGCAGACATTCAATTAAACTTACAAACTTACGCGGGCAACCAAACTTACCCAACACCAGCCACAATGCTTCGCAGTTCACCGAATCAAATGCCTTGGTGAAATCAACAAAAGCGAGTACAACGGCTGGCGTCGTTCTCTGCACTTCTCTTGCAACTGACGAGCCGTAAACATCATATCTATAGCGCTGCGACCCGAGCGGAAACCACACTGCTCTTCCACCACCTTAGGTTTCATAACCTGACTGACGAGGCGTTTGAGCAGGATTCGGGCAATCACCTTGTCCACCCAACTCAGCAAGTTGATGCCACGATAATTCGTGCAACATTGCTTGCTACCTTTACCATTGTACATTGGTAGCACAAGGGCATCTTTCAGCTCAGCAGGCACCTCCTCCTCAATCCATACGCGCTGCACCAAGTGTTGCAGCGCAGTCAATAACGCGGGTCCGCCGTGTTTCAATACTTCAGGCGGGATCCCGTCGGCCCCAGTACACTTGCCGTTTCGCAGCTGAGCAAGTGCTCTCTGCGTCTCATCTAGTGTCAGCGTGACCGCCAGACTCGTCTTCACATCATTCTGCTTAAGATAGCTCAAAGTGGGCCAGTCCATCTCTGAACGGTTGTTCAAGAGACAGTCAAAGTGTTTCCGCCAGACTTGCATTATGTCTGCAGTCTGGGTGCAGGTAGCGCCTGAACTACCATCGATCAGTGTCCTCAGCGGCTCCAATCTCGGTCCATACACCGCCTTCAAGGAGTCAAATAATTCCTTGTGTTGGCGGCGTTCGGCGTAGCATTCCATCTGCTTCGCCTTCTCCGTCCACCATGCATTTTTAAGGCGACGGAGCTTTCGGGTCAGTCGCCGTAGTCAGTTTGCGAAACTGACTATTCTTCCCCAAGTCACTGGGGTCTGCCACATGTGCAGCAAATGCTGCATTCTTCTCTGACACCAATGCGGCAATCGTCGCATTGTTCGCATGAAACCAATCAGGCAGCTTACAGTTTGCGCGCCCGATGGTCTCTTCGACAGCAGCTGTCACCTGATCGCGAATGTGGTGCCACAGGTCGCCCACTGTGGCTATGCAGTCCACATCACCACACAGGCGTGCAGCCATCGCCTTCTCCAGCACAATACGTTTCGCCCCAGTACCGAGTGAAAGAATGTTAAATTTACGCCTCCGATTCATGGCGGGAGTGCAATACATATATATACGAAACTATATGTACAGTTTGGTCTGCACCAATTTGTAATCCAATGCCACACTCAGCTGCCCGCAGTACACGTGTCATGCGCACTTCACGCAAATCACGCTAATGTACGATGACATAGTCGAGCAGGTGAGCGTGACCAATCCGCGGGTGCGTCCAAGTTGCCGTACCACTCGCACTCAGTGCAAACCGAGTGCTCATGATCGTCAGGCCGTGAGCGGCACACAGTGAGAGTAACCTGTCACCGTTCGCATTCGGTGAACCAATGCCAGGCGGACCGATGACGTCTGTCCACACCGATGCATCACGCCCAATGCGCGAGTTGAGATCACCCAGCAGAAATAGTCGGTCGCTCCTGGGCGCAGACCGTAAAATGCAGGATAGTTGAGTGTAGAATGGATCACGCGTGACATAAGGATAACATTTGCTCGGACCGTACGTGCTTATAAAGATGGCAAACTTACCTCTTCCGAGTCGTAGGCAAACAGTCATCAGTCGCGCGCTGATGCCTGTTAGTTCACCCACCAGCTGGCCATGGAGGCGATCGGACATTGCAAATCTGACCCCATGTTCATGTGGTGCTGAGGTGGTGTTGCCCACCCAGTAGAATTTGTAGCCAACACCTGTTTCATGCAATTTACCTTGCTAAGCGAGCCGGGCCTCACTGAGCGCCGCAATATCGATGTTGTAGCGCGCCAATTCCATCGCGACCAGCGCAGTGCGTCGCTCGGGGCGCTCGCTTGAGTTCCGGTGCAGTAGTGTGCGCGAGTCGCAGCATCCGATGCTGAGTGCTTTGCGTGCAGGTATACGATAGCGTTAATGAGACCTGGCTCGCTGAGCAAGGTAAATTGCATGTAGCAGGTGTTGGCTACACATTCGACTGGACGGGCAACGTCACCTCATCTGGTTGGC